GGACGCCCTCTTCTCTCCTCCTCCTTCCTCCTCCTCCGCCTCCTCACTCCTCCTCCTCCTCCTCCTCCCTCCTCCTCCTCCTCCTCCTCCTCCCTCCTCCTCCCCTCCTCCCCTCCTCCTCCTCCTCCTCCTCCCTCCTCCCCCCTCCCCTCCCTCCCTCCTCCTCCTCCTCCTCCTCCTCCTCCGTCCCTCCTCCCTCCTCCCTCCTCCCCTCCTCCTCCTCCTCCTCCCTCCTCCTACACTCCGCCTCCTCCTCCTCCTCCTCCTCCTCCTCCTCCGGGGCGGCGGGGGGGGGCGGCACGCCGCGGGGGCCGTCCTGTTGGCGCCCCCTCCCCCACGGCCGTGGCCGAAGCGCTCTCGGGCGGTGCCGCGCCGCGCGAGGTGCCTCGTGGTGGGCTGAGGCGCACGGGGGCAGAGGGCGTCGTTGAGGGCCTCCTGGCCACTGCTGCCGTCCCAGGCGCTCCCAGGCGCTCCCAGGCGCACCCAGGCGCTCCGGGCGCGTTCGCAGGCGCTCCCAAGGTGTCCAAGCGCTTCCAGGCGCTCTTTGGCGCTCCCAAGCGCTCCCAAGCGCTCCCGGCACGCTCCAGGCGCTCCCAGGCGCTCCCAGGCGCGCCCAGGCGCTCCCAGACGCTCCCAGGCGCTCCCAGGCGCTTCCAGGCGCTCCCAAGCGCTTCCAGGCGCTCCCATGCGCTCCCAGGCGCTCCCAGGCGCTCCCGAGCGCTCCCAGGCGCTCCCAAGCGCTCCCAGGCGCTCCCAGGCGCTCCCAGGCACTTGCGCTGGAGCGGCAACGGTTTACCGGTTTGAAGCATATCCCTATCCTTAAGTCGGGCCTGCCCCCCTAGAGGGGGGATGCTCGACGAAAAATAAAAAGATACCCCAACAATAGTCAAACCATAGTCCAAAAGTAGTCTGGGGACTATTTTTTGAGTATGTTTGAACCTTTTTGGGGTATTTTTGGGGTATTTTTAATTTCTCGTTGAAAATCCCCCTGTATGGGGGACAGGCCCGACTTAACCCTATCCCTATGTTTGGCATCCTCGATACGGATCTCAAGGATTCCCTCAATTTCTGAGGGCCTATATCCCTGATATTGTCATCGCTTTTGGCTTGCCCATCTCAGGGATAGGGATCAGTTCG